AGTTGCCTGTCCAGACAGGTACTGAATTGAAAACCTCTGCACAGTCCATTGTGGGCCAAACGTTTTTCTGCTCTCCACCAATCTGTCTTGGTGTCAGGTAGGATAAAAAATACTTTTCTTAGAGTCAGAAAACAATTCATCATTGCTCAGTGCAATTGTTGGTACTTCTTTTGAGACATTATTCATCTCTTTGCACATAATGGGTTTTTTTCCTCCTGCTTTGTTGAGTATTAAAGCAAATAAGGTGATTTTGTGTAGTCCATAATGGGGACATACTAGAAAAAAAGATCTTTTTGAGTATATTCTTCTGGGGAAAATGACTGAGTTTTCAAATTTAAATTGTCTTTGCTTTTGAGGGTTAAGGTACGATTTGTGCAAAAAGTATTTGAAACTTCAAATGAATAGGAAGACATTTCATAGTTTAATAGTGCAAATAAAAGACAAAATTTTAATTTTGAGATTAGACTTCTGTATGTGTGGCCATGTGAAGTGCAAGGGAAAAGTGACAAAACTTTCCATTTGGCTTGTCTTGGAAAGGAACTTTTAATCCCCTAGCATGAGTGAAGCTGTTGTAGGACAGCTTTATACCTCCTACTCAGAGCTTCAAGGCACGGTTCCCCTGTCACCTCCAGTTACCCCTTTCTCTCCTGTGTGGAGTGTTGGCAGGCAGCAGAGCAGAGTTCCACTAATCTTGCGCTATCCCTGTTAAAGTAATCAGTAGCTACTGCAACTTCTTTGTACCTATGGAGCTGCTCAGAGAGGTAACAGCTCCAATAGTCAGATGTCTTCTTTAAAAAGACACACCTCAAAATTCTCAGCACTCTATCCTGATTTCCTGATAACATGCTGTTCTTTAAGAACTTTACATCAGATCTCAATATTTTTTATGCAAATGTATGGCAGCATTCTTTTAAATATGTGATAAAAAGCCCCAGAGAACAATGGGTTTTTTAATTTTTATTTTTTTTTAATACTGAATAATTTATTCCTGGTAGAAAATTTTGTGTAATTTCATACAGGGTTCAGCATTTTTAGAGTCAAACCAGAAGAAATATAGGTTTTGTGTTGCTTTGGACTAGTGATGCTCCACCTGATGGTTAAATCTAAACATCCTCAGAAGGCTATTTACACATGATTTTGTTCGTGTGAGTTGAATGTGTCTTTTAAAGAACTGTTGTGCCATGGCTACTGCAGAAGGACCTGACACTTTCTATTAGTAAGCACTATGAGAGTAATAAAAACAACTTAATGTGTGTGTTCTTAGCATTATTATGGTTTTTGTTAGTTTTGTTCTTCTGTAGGAAAAGCGTGGGTGTCTTTGGTTAAATCATACCTCAAGGTGTTCATATGATTCAGTGGCCTTCCCATAATTGCATACTGCATTTTTAAGTAACTTAATCTACCTCTGTCTCCTTGTGTGCTTCCTAATGTGCAGAATTTGAACAGTAGATATTCATAATGTCATCAAGTTCTTGTGAGGTAGACTCCATTATTGTGGTGAGATTTTGTGATATGGTGATACGGTGCTGTAAAAATGACTGCATTTTGTATGTCTCTGCATGTATAGCATTACTCCATCCGTCGTCTTAGTATTTAGTGATACGGTTTTTCTGCCACTGCTACTGCAGTGAGTATCATGAAGCTGTCTGGAAGTAGATGTCACTGCTTTTATGGCACATTTGCAGTGGATCTTCTACTCCATCCTAATGGTGATAGGATACCTGCCAAGAGCTGAAATGCTGGCAGGCACTGTTCTGTGAGCACTGTCTCTCTCTCATGTATTTAAATATGCGAAACTGCAGTCCTTCTTGAGGCTCTCCTTTAAACACCAGCAGAACTTAATGTTTTTATTTGTTTCAATAGAGATTCCAGTGTTCTCCAGGAACTATTCTAACATTTTCACATTGTAGTTATCAAGGCGATAAAGGGTTTTAAAACCTCCAGTAAATATAGCAAAATGTTTATTTTTGCAAAAAGAAACTCTTGTTTCTCTCTGTTTCCTTGTACAGTGAGATTTTTAGCCTCTCTGCCTAGGACTTGTAGTATATTTATAGCCTTTTAAATAAAATCACCATTTGGGGGCCTTTTGATATTCTTTTGCCTATACATGTGTAAATAATTGACTATCGCGTGTAAGTAATTGCACATGCAAATAGGTACCCATCCAATGTTATGTATTTATAGTCAAATTCATAACACAAAATAAGAATAATTTTATTTTAAATATGAAAGAATTATTTTAAGTGTGTTTGCAGGAAACTTAATCCATATCCATATGTATGTGTTTGCAGGAAATAAATAACACTTTTCACAACCTGGTGGTGGTTGTTAACTTATTGGAATTGCTGCATTTCTGCACTACAGCTGTATGTTTCCTAACAGAAGCAGAACTCTCTTATACTTGCAACTTCAAAATGTAGGTCATCGTGTTGGTGAATGTAGGTCAGAGCGAAGGGGCAGAAGACAGAACGCAAACTCCTCCACGTGGGTCTTTAGGCTTATCCCTGTTCTGAAGGTAAAGAGGCTTATATACCTGTTCAAGCACGAGAAGCTTTTCCTTTTACTAAAATTAACGCAGGTATTCTGGCTTCTTGGCTTAGCTGGAAGTACCGTGTGCTTCCACACTTGAGACCTGTGTTCATGTAAGGCCTCTTGGCTCCTGCCTCTTTAGCAGCCAGCCACTTACCTCCTTGCTGAGGTGATCCATCCTTCCCTGTGGGGAAGGGAGCGGGGAGGAAAGTCTTGCGCATTACTAGCATCTGCCTGCAGAAGAGCAGTGTCTTTCTAAAGGTGCTTTACCCTTCTCTCGGTGCCGAGCTATCTGATACACCTGCAGTTGCAGCCAGTATCAACATGGTAATGGTAGCGGGGGAAAGAATGGTGACCCCTCGTAAAAGATTTAGTGACACCGTTCCAAGTGCCCTTTCAATAATAACCGTAGAGAAGTGAGAAACATTTGACTGAGGGTACTGAAAACTCAGATGTTGAAGGATTTTGCTACATTTGACAAGCATTTTTAAAACTCATTCAGGCTAAAAGTTTGCTACAAAAGGGTTTAGCTTTTTTGTGTTTGTGGGTGTGGAGTTTTTTTGTAATGTGAGCTATAAGTATTATAAATGCTATTAAATTAACCGTGTCTTCACTAAATATTAAAAAAGCACTTTTATTGCTTGAGTATACACCAGTCACTGCAAACTGAAACATTCTTTATATTATACACTAAAATATTTAAACAGTTATTATATTTATTGCAAAATCTGTCATTTTAGCATGTTTCAATGCTCAAAAGCATTGAAGTGCTCAAAGGGAGATAGAAAATCCTGTACAATTTGTAGTGTATGTTTCATTGAAGAATGGGTAGTCGTGTGTGAATATTTTAACCCTTAGCAAGTCTAAGCAAAATAGCTCTTTCACAAACACCTAATCTGCCTAAACTGTCATAAACAGAACAAACACCAGTATTGCTTTAGTGTTTTTGTCATACATACGGATCATCACACTATTTTTTTTCTTTTAAGATGTTTGTCATACAAAAGTTATATGCAAAGTTTTGGCCAAATCCTGTCTAGGCTTTTGCTTGATCTGTATGCAGGCAACACATTCATAAATTTTCATTATTTATCACTATGAGTAAGGGCAGTTCAGAATACTTATTGGATAGACAGGAGGAATTACATATTTGGTGGTTACAATCAGGCTCTAAGCGATTTAAAAGGAAGATAGTTTTTTCCCAAACTTTTCCTTCTGTTATATATGTTGTGATGTTTTTAAAGTCTGGAGAATAAAAAATTTTGAAAAGTGATCTAAAGGATACACATATGTAGTAAGCTGCATGGAATTCAGTTTACCTGTCTAGCAGTATCTAAAGGATGCTCCCACGTGTCTGTTTCTGAGTGTACTTAAACCGTTGAAGTGTCTGTAATTCATAATATTACGTTTCTGTCACATCAGTTCATAACGCTATGTATTGTAGAGGGAGGCTAACCCTGGTTTTGACCTCTTGATAGACATGTAAGCATGTTTTGTCATTGCTAAGCAACAACAGATGGAAAACACATACAACCATAATTTGGCCACATGTGCCTTTGATTCATCTTCCCTTAACTTTGGGAACCAGACTCAAGTGCCTGGATACAAGTCTGGTTTCCCCAGGCTCCCTCCAGCAAAGGAGGTAGATGCCTGCAGGTGAGCGTGCAAGACACACAGGACCTGCACTACGCTCTCCATAGGCCATGGCACTTCCCATAGATGTTCAAGTGAGGTAGGAAACTGGGCTGACAAAACAGTGAATTTCATGAGTGTATGGTGTTGAAGGGGTCAATTTGCATGGATGCCTTCAAGTGTTTACCAAGGTTGACAATGACCAGTGTTAAGTTTTATGATAAATGCTTAGGAAGTCATGAATAATATGGATTCAGTGAAAAAAAGCATGGTTGCTCCTGCTTATTCCCATATGACAACTAGAGGGCCTCAAGTGAAAATGACAGAGAGGCAAGCAGAAAACAAGAGGGAGGAGATGTTGCTTTATATGGCATGGTAAAACTGATGCTTCGTGCCATAGGACGTTGCAGCTATGGGAAGTTTACACAGATCCAGAGAATAACTAGAAGATGGGCCTCACCTCTGGCCTAGTACAGACAGTCTGATGTTCATGTGAATGCCCAAATTTCGGAAGTTTCATAGAATTAAGTTCTATAGAACTTCTAAATTCTTGACAATTTTATGTATAGGTATATGTGTATGTTTATGTGTGTGTGTGTGCGTGTCTATAAAGCAAATTTCTAATCATTAGTTGGGATGGAATATGTGCAATATTCAGTTACAATGCTTAAATCAGAAGTCTGCCATTAAAAATCTCATTTGTTTCTTTATTCCACAATATTGTGCAAATTTAGAAAATGAAACAGTTGGTAGAGATCTGCAAATGGTAATATGTATTCAAATATTGGTTTAGACACAAAAAAATCTTTTCTAATAAGACAAATATTTTTGTTTTATAGGTCTCTGGCCATCTGAAGAAGTGCTGGCTTACTACTGCCTAAAGCAAAATGAAATATTCAGGTACAGAGTAAAACATAAAAAGATATTTTCCAATCTGTTAGTTTTATTATATCTGCATGGTAAAGATTACTATGATTTAAGTCTTCAGATTAAATTTAAAATGTTCAAGGTGAAAGCATGTTGCTCTTAACAAAGAATTCTGAGCTGCCTTTGGGTACTAATATTGCACAGCAAGCTTTCTGCTATATGTCAAAGACTTTTGATTTCCACTCAAGGCGTTTTATTTCACTTTGATTTTTGGGAAACAAAAGTGAAGCTCCAATCGATCGGTACTGATTGTGAAGGTCAGGAAAATAAAAGACATTCTTTAAACTGACATCTCTTGCAAAAACAAACAAAATATTTCCTGATAAAATACATAATAATCACTGCATATAGCAATGGAGAAATTTGCACCTGTATTTAATTGCTATGAAATAATTTTGAGACATTATGCACTTTTATTTGGTTTTGTTTTTTTCACATTTTATAAAGTTGTAGAAGACAGTTGTCAAGGCTCCAATAGGAATATTTAAATATTTTTAATTCTTTTTTTTTTAATCCATTCTGCATCCTCTCTCTTTCCTCTTGAGTATACAGAGCTTTGCACTTGGAAATCCTTCAAGTTTCATTGTCCAGGAGGATGAATGGGGGTGCGAGAAAAGCCATTATAACAATGCATTTACAGTCATAAATTGTGTTCTGAGTGAGAGTGCAAGGCTAATATGAAGTAAACCAGTTTGGAGTATACAGCATCCCTCAGTCTGTGTACATATGGTGTTGGCAAAATAGGGAAGACCAGGCTGTAAGTCCCTGCCCCTTGTACTGATGCTGAAAGTGTTATCAGCTGTGAGCTGGTTCCTGCAGCTTGCTCAGGCTCCTATCAGTGACCTGGCACCAAAGCATGCCCTGACTCTTAAAGCCTCCCTTCTACTCTGGCCACCACCTGAATGAAGCTCAGTCCATCAGACGAGGCAGCTAACACACCTAAGCTGGTAGTCACTGCTCCTTCCTCCGAGTGTAGCTGGGTGCTGTGTTGTCTGACTTTTGCTGCTGTGGTGATGTGTCTGTCACACTTTGCCACCCAGCCCCGTGCCTTGGCTCGTCTGCTCTGCTTGTCTCAGGGGCTCTTTGCAGCAAACCTCCTTGTGCTGCTCACTAAAAGGGCATTTTCCTAGTTTGGATATGCAAGGCTGCTTATTCAGAGGCAGCAATCAGTCAAACTTCCATGGACGAGATGGGCACTTTTGCATCCTGATTTCTCAGGATTATACCCTTTCAATGTTGCACTCAAAGTAGAGTATCTTATTTAAATTCTCATTGATAAATGTCACTAAACATTGCCCAAGAGATGGATGTGATTTTAAAAATGTGCTAGTAAGGGAGCTTTGCACTGAAATAAATTGTTTATATGCGTAAATATGCATGCGTATACGTGTGTGTGTATATATATATATATATGCGCCTATATTACATACATACAGTTCAAAATGTGCTAAAAAACTCACACTGACCACTTTCTGTGTTTATTTCAATAAATATTATTCTTTAAAAGGGTTAAATGCCTCATAAATCTTATCTATATGATCATCTGTGTATACCTTTAAGATATAACGTATCTTTTACAAAAATAAAAACTTATGTGAGGAAAAACCTATAATAATTTTATTTAAACCACAGACTGTAAATTTCCCACATCTGTTTTATATTCTCATTGGGTTTGTTTATAGCTTGTTCCTCTGAACTCTGCCCATCTTTTGTCTCATTTCCATGAAATAGGACAACTAAATGTTTTGCAAATAAATTTTGTGGAGTACATTGAAAATAAATCTGTCTCATCCAGGCAGTAATCATACAGCCTAGTCTGGTGGCCTCAGTGAAAAAAATATCAGCATCTGTATACTGATACTGATACAGCATCCTAGATGCTCTTCCTAAAATATCAGTGTTGAGTGAGTAGGGAGGTAATACTTTCACATAAAAACAGATTTTCAGATGTTGGTGTTTTAGGGGAGAAGAAACGGTACGCACAAAAAAAACCCCCTGTTTCGCTGAAATTCTGTTTTCTGCTGTCAAAAATATCTCAATGAGAATGCTTCTGCCAGCTGTAACAGTTGTCAAAGGTTTGGATATAAAGAAAGCAGCGTGTTCCTAAACTGAGGCTCTGCCTCGCCCTAGACACCGCTTCACGCAGTTTCAACGCAGGGTCAGCATCCCTTCCTCCTCCCCTCTCATGGCAGGCCATAGCTCTGGAGGACATTCTTTATGGCTCCCCCTGCAAGCTCCCATCCAGCACGCTCTCTGTGCCAAATTATATTTCACATGCACATCTTAATAACGGCACAGTATGGTCTAAGTTAAAAGCACCCTTTTAAACCATGTATTCAAGCCTCTACTTGGGCTCAGTTTAGGCTCTTGACACTAACTTCATGTAGTTTTCTGTGGCTTAACTGTTTGCTGTTCCCATCGTTGTTCCTAGCAGTATTGTTTGTAGGTCACTTGCAGTTTTAAGTGCTAATTGAAGGATCAGATTTCTTCATGTGTAATTGTTTTGTGGTATACAGCTTGTTTTAAAATTTCTCACTTTTTAATATAAGAAGGCTTTTAGGCATAGCTATATGGAGAGATATATAAATAATATTAATTTCCCCATTTACTTCTCTAACTGTTTTTGCAAGAATGAATGTGGATTAACATTGTTATCCTTTCCTAACAATTATCTTTCGCTACTCTAGCTAGTTTAGTTCTAAAAGACAGAGCCATTGACAAGGGAAAAAAGGGAACCTTCTCAGATTTTTCAGCTCAGCGGTGGTAATGTTGCACTGAACACTAATGAGGGAACCCCCACTGATTTGCCTGCTTTGTGACTTTTCTATTTCATAATTATTTTTAAAACGCAAAACGACATGAGGTAGCCTAGTCATGTCTCTACAACTTCCTGGTAGCTCAGTTCTTACTGCAGATGGCAATTTGTTCTTGTAACATATATGTGTCTCTGACCATTTTCATCTAATTTGTATGGGTTCTACCATTTCCTTTCTCTCTTTCAGGGACCTTGCTGTGTGTGAGCTAGGGGGTGGCATGACATGCTTGGCTGGGCTCATGGTAGGTCTTTTCTCAATTCCAATCCCATTCAGAGGAAGAAACAAAAGGAAAAATGTTCCAGTGCCTCCAACTGCTGGGTCAGAGAACTGTCAACAGCCTCAGCTGCGGTCAAGCTGCAGAGTCTTGAGAGACCTTCTAGATTGACTTGCTTTCGTATCATATTGATTTTATGGTTGCCTCGATGAGCAGAAACATTTTACCGCCGTGTAGTCAATATCTCTTGTTGTGACATTCCAGGCCACGTACGGTCTCTCTTTCATTGCCATAGCCGAAGCTTTTTTTTTTTTTTTTCAGATTATAGTCCCATTTGCTAAGATACAGGAATAGCCTGGCGAATCACAGTTGGAGCACCATGATATAGCTGCTAATGTTTTGCCTGCATTATTACACCAACAAACATGATCCAGAGCTCTCAGTAATTAGATTCTTTTGAATTAGATTGGCCATTCAGGAGAGTCGTTCACCATTCTCTGGGTTCTGAGTCATGTATTCAGGAGATATTATGTAGCAGTGCAGTGCATTAGACAAGTTTTTATGTCTCTACAAATAAAAGCATATTGTTACACTGATTGGCATTTGACAAACCTGTCGCTCTTATACAATGTGTCGAGGTTACAGCCCAATGTGCGAGCATGTCAAAGCTCACAAAAAAATTACCCTTACAAAGCCATCTGCCTGCAATGCAAAGTTATATGAAGGGCATCAGGCAGTCAGACAGAAGCAAGCTGAAAGGCAGAGTGACAGCCTTGTATGATGGCTCTACTAGATAAACAGAAGCCCGCAAATGAAAGCCTCTCAGAATACCATCATCCGCTGTCACAATGCAATTACGGAACAGAATGATAGCAAGATAGAGGCTCCCGCAAATGGAATGATAAAAGTATTGACTGATTTGATTGAATGATTAAAATAATGCAGACATAAAATGAAAAAAGATTGAAGATTGTTACAGAGAAATAGGTGAGGAAGCATGATACTGAAGGCTTGTCACTCCTGTCTTCACTTCCACACAGACAAGCATATTTGCTCATTGTTTGCTGTGCTCTTTTTTTCAGGTTGCTATTTCTGCAGATGTCAAAGAAGTTCTGTTAACTGATGGAAATGAAAAGGCCATCAAAAGTATCCTTATTCAGATAGAAAACTGGTTTGTTGTGCTCGTTCCTTTTTACTGACTGAGTAACAATCGATATAAAGACAGACAGCATGGGGTATATTAAGAAAAAGTCCCCACATAAGTAATTAAAAAATAGATGCAGAATATCTTGAACAGAGCTACAGCTTTCCTTACAATAAATGCCATATTTTCTTCTTTAATTAAAAATGCACATATTGGTATAGAGGAAGTACAGTAGTAAATATTTGTCTTATGGTTGAGTGCTGAAAGGTTCCTTGTGTGTATGCTGCACGTTACAGGAGGTGTAGCAGTGAATCAAATCATTAGCTCCCCTTCACATATTCATTTTGCAGAAGAACATTTTTTTTCTTACTTTCAGATACTAGCCTCTAAAAACATATGCAGTATTTGTGTATTGTCATAGCTTTTCCAGTGTATACTGAAATGCATGGTTTCATTGTTGCTACCAAGTTACAACTGCCCACAAATTACCCATTTAGTGTGCTTAATTAGTTATCAATTTATCATTACTTCTCTTAATGTAAGATTGCCAAACTCCTCTGTCCCTTGTAGAAAGTATTTTATTATATTTCTTATATTAGAATAAATTGCTCTTACGCCCTTTTAATATGAACACATAGTTCAGAAAATTGAACTGTACTTTGGCTAAGCGAGAGAATGAGTGAGTGTAATTTGTGGCCACATTAAATATCAGCACAGAACAAGAACAGATATATACAGTGAATACTAATAGCCCTTAGAAATTGAGAGGGAAAAAAAGGAAGATATCTATTTTTGTTCCTTGGTAATCTTTCCATTTACATTTTAAGGCAGACTAGTCTTTCAGATTTTGGCCACTGCATCATCAGAATTATTTTGATTTGAGTTTTGCAGGTATTTGAGAGATAACATAATGAGTACTTAGTACTGCTTTAAAAAAAATTGCAGTTGCTGATGACTGTTAAAACAGGGGCACTGCAGTGCAGTAATATTGGCTACTACCTTTAAAAAGACTTTCTCAGAGATAACTGAGGTAGCTATAATTGCTTACAACACTTTAACAATTTCATGGGAAAAACAATCAATCTTAGATTGTATCTTTTAAAACTTGAAGGAAGTCTTATAAAAGTCTCCTTTTTCTTAAACATGCAAGTTCTCAGTTGAGTTCCAGGGATTCTTATTTTACTAAATTCTAGATTGTTATGCTCATGTCTTGAGGTGGAAGCATTCATTTTTCTGTGTAGTTTAATCGGCATCTCCCCTTCCAGTATTTCTTCTGTGTCCTTATGAAGATAAAAACTGTGGAAGAAAAAAAGTGTTTCAAAACTAGCCTAACAAAACAAACTGCTGTTTTATAGAAGCATGGGTATTTAACAAAAGGTCATTTTACCCACAGAGTGCTTCAGGTGAGCTCAGTAATCATCAAGTCAGCAAATATCTTGCATAGCAGATTCCATAAACATACCTGAACTTTTTTGAAATTTAGAAGTCTCTATAACAAGGAAAATTGGTGGGTGTTAAAAGTATTCACTCAGTCTTTGGAATTAAGTAAATTAAAGTGCTTTTATTGCTGAAAAAGATACTGTTAATGTTATCTAATTAGCACACCTTAGTTTTTCACAGAATGTTTTAGAAATATCTTTTATTTCCAAAAGTCTTACAAGTAGTCTTCATCTGTATTCACTCAGTGAATCCCTTTTAGGGAAGCGATTGGTGGAAGGCTCTAACAGGAATTTATTTTTCTTTTTTAACATTTGGTGCTCTGAAGGCTCAGCATTCAAAGTGCTTTTATTGTGTTGGATTTTACAATGGGCTTAATATTAGCAGGGTGCCAAAGTGCAGCAGACTAAGAACTTTACAGTGTAGGTGGAATGTATTCTTAAAAGTGCACATAATGAAATTTATGTTGCATTTTATGTGTTTTATGGACTTCAGTAGTCATTTTATGATCTGTCTTATGGTAATTTTCTTTTGCATTCTTTTCTACAGTGACTAGCTACAACAGAAGTTTAGACTAAATTTAGATCTGTTTCAGCCACAACAGACTCACTGAAATCAGTAAGAATTTTTAGTGTAATTGGAAACAGTGTTTAGCCCCGGACTACAGTGCCACAGACTACAAATTATGTATTTCTCCTGATTTTTATTATCGCTGTAGGTATTTTTTAATTCTTTAGCATACCAAATTAAATTAATATGGGATAAAATGCTGTTTTCTTTTCTAGATTCTGCTCTTCAGGAATAGCTAATGCCTAGTATTATGCTTTTTATGTAGGTATTATAGATTAAAATAATCTTGTTTAAAAATTACTGTTTACATCTTCCCTTTAAATTTCCTAGGAAGCGTAAATTACATGCCAGTCATACTATAATATCCAAAAATTACTTTCCAAAAAGTAAAAGTGGTTGTCAACAAAAAAGAAAAAAAATCACTGTCAGAAGCCAGGAAATCACCAAGCAAGCCTGCTAATTATTCTTAATGGGCAAGATGAGCACATTAAGAAACAAATGAATACATCAGTGAAATGTAATTGAAAATCGACCTGGCAATAGTGCATTGCATCTGAGAATCTGCCTTTGTATTATCATCATCATCATAATTATTGTTGGTTTTGTTGTTGTTACCGCTTTCCAGTGAGTGTAACTAACAGCTTTGCCTTGTGAATTCTCGAGCTTTTGAGGATTTGATTTTTCTTCTAATTTTTGACATTCTTCATATTATTCTCCATTTCATACTGGCACATGAAGGTTTTTCGCTTTGTATGTTTTAAGTATCTGTATTAGGATATGTTATTGAAATGCTACAGGTTAAAACAATTTACAAATATGTTAATTTCAAATAATAGTTGTGATTTTAACCATTTCACTGTGAAATACATAGCTATATTTTATATTAATCAATGGTTTTGTACATGAGGTTTATGGAGGTTTTTAAAAAGATATTATGATTTGAGTTACTAGTCCATTTGAAAGACACCACTCTAACTCACTCCATTTGCCTATCGGGGCAGATTTTAATTGATTAACAGATCATTTATATTGCAAATTCAATAAAATAAAGACAGATGTTACTGCATTTGCAGATTCACTCAAAACTATTGTTGGTTTAGTGTGTTTTATCTAAGTTCTTTCAGGATCATTTAAATAAAGACAGTATTAAAAAGAAAAATATAGATTTTTCAAGTGAATAATAAAGATACACATAGACAAAGTTATCACATTCATCCCCCTTTGTCATTCTGGGTGATGTGCATGCAGATACAAATTTTCCATCTTAGGTAATATCTATAACTTAGTCAGTCGTGAACATCAAATTCTATTTCCCCAGAGCACTGGAAGCATCTATACTCAATTTGAACTGTCCAAATCCAAGGATAAGGTTAATTTTTAGTAAAAATTGTCTCTTATTTCAGAGAGGCTGGGTACCTTCTGCCTTAGCTCTGTTTCACACCATGCACTAGTGACTTGAACTACTGTCTGAAAGCATCAATAATACAAAACATTGCTGCAGCGCACTATAATGGCCATTAAAATATATAGTATGGATCTTTCAACAGTCCTGGGAAATTTAGGTTAGAAAGGTCATGTTCAGCCTGAATGCCTGAAGACATGGGCTCATAAATTGTTTTTAAAAAGCCAGTGTTAACATTTTTACAACAGATATTAATAAGTTTGCTCAGTTATGTAATGTAAGTGCAGTGTAGCTAATTATCAACAATGTTACATCTGCCTCTACTTAGAAACAGCATGCTTTGCTCATGAAATTATTTATGCCTCCCTTTCGTTTCCTAAGTATAGACCATTCATTACTACTTCTCATTGCTTATTGTGGAAAAGATTTAGAAGGCATGTCCAAAGTACAGAGATTTGTTTTAACCAGTCTTCTGTCATTCCATTTCTAGTTTTTGGCTTCACAAAATATCAGTTGTCTTGCCTTTTACATTGTTTGTACAGAGGCTTTCCTAAAATAGCTTTTATGAAACAGTCAACTATCTTAGGAAGGTTAATCATGTGATTTCAGCAAAGCAAACAAAAAGATACGTTAGTGATATTTTAAATTATCCTGACACTAGTTTTCAATTTTCTTATAAGAGTACTTGCAAAGAATTCAACAAATTTCGTGCACCTGGAAACATCCTCCTAATTAGCATCAGCTTTCCAGTACCTTAAATACGAAAGGATGGTCATTGACATCTTTACCAAAAATATCCATTTAAGATAACTTTTTATATTTGAGAGTGAATTGTTCAAATATGCATGGATTCACACTGGGTGACATTTAGTATTCTCATAGTTTCAGTTACTTGCTACACCTTTTCCTTATGATGCCTTCTTACTAGCCACAGACTATGAAGGTTATCTTTCTAGGCATAGATGACTGGGCACAGCTTCCTTTGAAACTTTTCTTTCACAGCCTTTGCTTTGGCCTGCCTGAACTACTCCCCAAATCTGTGACCTGATCTTCCAAACTGAAAGAAGCTGAGACAGGAGCCTGAGGCACTGTTACATTGCCTTTGGGAAAGAAAAGGCATTTATTGCTTTGTCCTGTCTTTTGTGGTGATTCCAAACCATTCTCAGGAAAGCAAGTGGACTAGAAACTCCCTTGCCTATAGGTTAAGGTGCTCCCGTTGTGTGTTGAATTTCACACAGATAGAGCCAGGTATGGTTCACAGCACTGTGATCTAGTGATACAGATGGAAACAGCACAAACTAAAATGGACATTAAGTGACCATGCTAAAAAATTTCTGTTCACCACAGTTGTAATTCTTATATTTGTAAACAATAATTGCCTTTAATTGCATGTAAGGTATGGGAAGTCTTTTTCATTTCCTTCTATAGTAACAGGGCTATCAATGCCTTAAATGAAACAGTAAATAAAGGTAGGCAACCAGAGCCAAGTTGCTGCATAAATATATGGCTGATGTGCTGGAGCAGCAATGTAGAATTTATGCTTCTGAAAAAAAGAAGACCAAACAGATAAAAGACATTATGAAGGTAATAACAATGGGGAAAAGTGATTTTTTTACTATTTTTGTTACTGCTCTAGTTTTCTAGATAATTCTTAATGAGTATGCTACAGATGTAAGTGAGATCATCACAAGAAACCAAGATGCGGGAGTATTTAAGGCTCAAAAAGTGTCAAGCCGGTAAGATTCTACTAAACCATTTTATGGGTTCTTGCATGTAATTTTACATTTAATGTAAATGTGAAATGAATGCGAAAGTGTGGAAGTGTGACCTGTCTTACTGATGCTGACATGGATGTACATACAATATAAGTAGGTAAGTGATGCAAGACATAAAATTGGAAGTATTAAAAAAACTATTTAACTGCTTTTTAACATAGAAAATACAGTGTGATTGATCTTGGTGACATAATCTCTCTTTCCTTTTTACTTTATATTTAACATGCACTATGTCTCTTCAAGCTGTGGTTTAGTGTGTGGTTGAAATTTGGGTGCTTTAAGGTCAGCATTACCCATTGTACTGAATATGAGGCTTGGAAGGAATTTACCTAAATCACTGGCAGGTTTCATTTTAAATAGCTCTGAGAATTCAGGGTAGTAACAAATCCCATTTGCCCCTGAGGTAGATGTTGTTGAAGATATCCATGGGAGGTTTTTTGGTCATCCTCTCTGTGCAGTCAATATTGTGTTGTTGATGCAACGGCAGATGGAGAGCATGGGAGCCCAGCAGAGCAAGCTGGTGTCCTTCTTTCATTGACTATGTCCTAAGGTACAGGGTGCACCCAGAATTTTTCTCATAGTGCACCAACTCTGTTGCCTCCCAGTTAGCCCTGCAGGCATGCTCTGAAGGGTGACTGTTGTAGAGGTTCAGAGAACTTGTTTTCAGATAATCTCCAGAGCCCTTCCTCACTCCTGAAGTTAGCTCTATTTCATTGAGACATCTCCAGGTACAGCAGGGTCTGGAAGCATTTGAAAATTTGAAATGTGCTCATCTCTTGTAGTATTTTAAAAGTAAATTGTAAAGTACTTCCCATACTTCCTATTCATGGAATAGGGTTATGAATTAGAATGTGCTTAGAGATGGCTACCTAAAAGTAAATAGTGTGCTCTTGTTTCTGTGTCTAAATATGGTGGGGTTTTTTATGATTCTCATTCCAGAGGAAATGCTCTCAGTCCATCTCAAAGTAACAAAAGTAAAGCTGAAAGAGGGCTGAAAAAGACAAGTTGATACAGCAGAATAAGCTTAACATAGAGGGTTAAACCCATACAATTTTAATGGCTATCATTTACATCATTTATCCTACACTTACATGGCCATTCTGTGTAGAGAAGTTCTTTTAAGTGAGCACTTAGCGTTAGAAAAATTCTGCCTTCATTTGGGTGTACGTGCATATAACTTAGAGATAGATCTCTGCATCCTAATAAGTGCCTGCCAAGTAGACAAAGGCCACACAGCCCCGGGAATAGGCTTTCGTGTTCCACGTGCTGAACGCTTCTCGTGAGCAACCTCATCCCTGCTGAGGAGGGGTTGTGTGGTACATCCACCCAGAAGCTTAGAGTTTGTAAATTTGCAGTTGCCTCTACTACTTGTATGAGATTTCAGATTTCATCCCTTGTCAAGACTTCAAACCTGGTCTCTTAGATATCAATCAAAAGCACATTTTCTACCCTGTCCTCATTTACATTTATCGAATGCTTAAGGTCATTTGTGATCATTTGAGTGTATTTCAGCATATGGAATCAGTGAATAATAGATTTCAGCCTCACGCTGTGAAGAAAGATTGTGTTTTTACAAGACATGATGTTGTTTACTGGGTGTTAATAATCACTAATTAATAAACATATCTAGACGTCATAAAATGTTGCATTTTATGGAGTAGAAATGTCAAGTGTTTAACTTCTTGAGTGCAATAGCATTTGGGGCCTTATTTACATAAATAAAATAAATTACAAAATCAAGTGAACTACTATATAAAACGTAAGGCTCATTATAATAAACATATCATTGTTTTTTAGTTTTACATTTTTAAGGCTTTTGCAGATTTGTTGCAACAGTGCAAGGTTTTATAAAATAAGTATTCAAATGACTCTCTAATCCCAAAAATAATTATCATCTTGCATTTCTCTATCTTATGCACATTAATAGTTGAATTCTTCTGTCAAAATTAAGGTTATGCTTCGGTTAGTTGTTTGAGAAGTGCTAATGGATGGATCAGTCCTCCAGATTCAGTAATGACATGTGATGAAGGCAATAACAAAGTTATTTGGTCACTTTTCAAGGCCTTGAAGGAACTAAAAGACTGATGTAAAATCTGAAATATTACTGTAACTCTGATTCACATTCCCTGCAACTGAAAACCTTAGTTATATAATGATAATTGAGGGGAAAAATACACACACACAAAAATGTATTGTTGATCGGAGCTTGCAGGCAAATTAACATAGTGATGTATTTAAGTGACTTATTGCAACATTAATTTAATCTGGAGAAGGCATGTTCCTCACTCTAACGTATCATTTAAACAGTGTCTAGTCTTGCAACTTTGCCCCACTTACGGTGCAAAGTTACAAGATTCTTTCCATATAAAAGATAAATGAGGACAGACCCTTCACACCACACCTTCATCTCACATTGGGATCTTGTACTCCTTTCCTTGCACATGGAGCAGAAATTATCAGTATGAGAGTCAGTTTGTGACGGTTCCAGAAATTTAAGTCTAGACTTGGAAAATATGCCCAAAAAATGTATGGCACAAAAAGGAACAATCCAGTATCAGCTAAGAGAAGTTAGATTAGGACAACCTGCCATACATTTATTTATTTAGATTTACACAAAATGCAGTAAATGAGCACTTATCTAGCTCTCTGCCAACTCTTGATTATTGTTTAAAAGTACAGTAATGTAAGCCAAACTGGCAGTTTGTCATATTATGTGTTATAATGTAATAATAGATATTTAGTAAACAGTTTACTTCAGCAGTGGATATACAATTCTATTTTATTTTTAGCTTCTGTGAGTATGCTCAGAATTTCTCGGTTATGCTTACTGGAAATAGGTACTATAATGCCACCAAGTTACTAATAATGACTTGCCATAGTAAAGTGGATTATTAATACTATGTATGGGTTTGACGATTTTATATTTTTCATAGTTAAAAATTTAGCCATGAATCACGTTGTTTACCCCATAACTTAGCATATGAGGCATCCTGATAGCAGTCTTTGTACCATCAACTGTTATTAGTTTGGCATGCATTATAGCACTGTTTTGAATATGTCCACCAATGGTTAAATTAGCAATAAAAAAGTCAAGGAATCTCTGCTCTTTTTCTTCTCTTTATTTTAATGTGGAAATCTTCCTGAAGCAGGGGTTTGGCTAGTAGAATTTTGTTATTACAAATGTCATGATGGAAAAGCTTTATCAAAAAGAAAGGCTTGCAATATATTCTAAAGGTTAACAAACTGTGTCTGTCTTACCTACCAGGGAATTAGTTCTTCCATCAGATTCCCTTGTCTGAGAAAATCGAATCCATTAACAACAAAATTTGTATACTTATTGACGATATGGGACCTGCGAGTTATAGCTGTGGACAAGTCTATTGTTTTGCTAAGAGTTGCCTGAGAGGGATTACATTCCACATAAGAGTGTAAAGAACATATAACATCAAGTCAGCGAGAGAAGTGCTTGTGACACGATGCACCCTTTGATTTGATTAGTAATAATGTATCATATACTCTTTGTTCGGTCTATAGTCAACATTAGAACCCACGTCAAGAATGTATGACCATGTGACCGAGAGTGACAATTCCTTCTCCTTAAAGGCTGATAGGTTATAAACTTATCTGATATTTTAATGTTCCTTACAAATGAAATGAATTTACAAGCTTCCAGAATTAAACCTAAAAAAACACCCCCATCTTTCTAAAGACTAAATGACATCCAATGTAATAGTGGACACGGTTGCAATGACAGAGCGCTGGACTGTATCATCCTGATTCCATTGATGACCTCCTTCTCTGTAATTGCCAACGTGTGAATATTTTACCTTTCTGCAGTGTTCTTCAAATACACCAACTTTCTAACCTTCCTGATTTCAGCTGGCCATGTAACAGGTTCCATCAACATAGGACAGCCTTAATAAAAGACACTTTCTCTGTTTTCATTCATCAAAATGACTAAGTGTTGCTAAATTCAAACTTCTTGAAAACCTAGTTATTGAACTTGTTGTGTTTGTCAGCCTGCAGCCCTAAAGGAATCCCTTTCCTTCCAACTACTTTTTGTCTCCTTGCATGACACCATCTCTTAGCAAGGAGGAAGCTATCAAAAGGAACATTTACTGTTCTTTCATTGGAAAGAAAAGGGTCCTGGTTCCTGCACTCTTAATTTGATCATTTTATCTATATGTGGGAAGAAAGAATTAACCATCTGTCCAGATACGTTGTGAATTTGTAGCTCTCTATCACAGGAAACTCAACTAAGGTGGAAACCATTCCATACCTCTGATCATACTTGCCCTGCTCTATATCTTTTCCAGTTTCAATCTATTTATATTCAGATGAGAGTCATCAGACTGCATTCAAAGTGTGCATAAATGATAGATATATGTAGTGTAATAATTGTGCTTTCTGTTCCTCTTCTAAAATGCTCAACACTGATTTGCTTTTTTGACTGCAATTGAGCACTGAGCTAATATCTTCGTGACAGTCTTTCACAACATCAGGAGCTTTCCACTGGTGGTCAGTCTGGAGACTTTCATTTTCTTTAGCAAGCTGGAATTATTTTTCTCATTGTGCACTTTGCATTTATCCACACTGAGTATCATCTGTCATTTTATTGTTCAATTACTCAGTTTCGTCCTTCTGTGATTCTTCAGTCTGGTCTTTTCCTTACTATCTTGAATAACTTCTTAACATCAGCAGACTTTGCCACCTCAGTGCTTATTTCTTGTACGTATCTCTTGTATCATGCTGAATAGAACAGGTCCCAGGGGAGCACCACTGATTATCTCCCTCCTTTGTGAGAACTGGCCATTTACCACTACCCTATTCCCTGTCTTTTATTCTATTATTTAGCTATGCCAGCACTCTTCTCCAGTGGCTGTCTACTTTCCTTAAATGTTGTTGGTGAGGGTCTTTGCCAATAGCCTTTTGGAAGCAGAAGCAGGTGTGTTAAAGCAGAT